CCGGTGCCATTAGAAAATCCTCAGAATTCTATTTGCTAAGTATGGGAACTTGTGCGTGACAGCCAATTACAACCCAGAATGACCTCTGGTCTAATGTGCAGCCCGCTTACCTGCTGTTCAATAAAAAACTAGAGTCGCTGAAGTGAGAGAGCACACAGCTTTCACGGGCTGACCTACTCAATGCCCCCTTTCAAGTCTTCAGGCCAGAAAGTGAAGCTACACAGCATGAAGTAAATGAAGTCTATTCATCTCTACTTCCCTCTCCTTACAGGACACCATTGCACAGGAGCATGAAAACTTAAACAACCTGGTGCCAGCTCTAAAACAAATGGAAAAAAATATCAAAAGCAGGGACCACATTTGCATCAAATAAAGAAAGGCCATGGCAGAAACAACCAAAGTAACTGATTATAATAATTATGACAGGTGTGTGATTCACTCATAAGCATACAGACAGGCCCCTGTTTCTCTTTTCTGCTTGATCTGTCGTGCTGGCTTGGTCACTGCTTGGGAGCCTCTTCCTTCTCGCTGCCATGCTGAAAAGGTCTCAGCCACTGCTAAGCATGACACAGTTCACCTCAAATAATGAACTGTGTCATGAAATAATGAAGATCCATAATGAATGATCAATTAAGAATAGTCCAACTGTTATTAAAAAGCACAGGCCATCAAACATGCTGTTGTGCCTCTTCCACAGCTCCATTTCAGCTCCATATCCAGGCTAAAAGGTCACAGTGGGGAGCTAAAAATGCTTCAATGCCTTCCCCTTTTGAGCTGGTCTGTTTGGACAAATGAAGGTTGATGAATGATGCAAAATATAAAAGCTTCTTCAGTCACTCAAGCATATCAATCAATGTTTAAGCGACAGTGCTGGAAACAGAATCAGCAATTTGTATCCCATTATGCAGCAAAGTGATCCTTTGGAGTATTTCCTATGAGACGAGATCAAGTTAAGACATTCCACAGATCTCTGGTGATTGACCATTTACAAACTGTTAAGTGATCAGAAGATCGACCGACACATCAGTAGGAAAATTCACTATTCAATAAAACCACGATGACTATAGTCTTGCTTAAGACATGCATTTTGTCTTTTGTGGTAGTGACAATGGACAACAACTGTGCCACGGATAAAAACTAAGTACAAATGCATGGAACAGCACTGAGAGCAAACAGCAATGATGATTTCATTTTTTCCATTACACACTTTTTTTACAGAGATACAAAAATTCTCTGAATTATGTGATTACTGCAATTATTAAACACAGAGAAGTACAGTACTTCTTTAGCTTCATGTGTTACATAATTAGCAGGGTTCATACAGGCAAGATTTTTACAATGTGAAAACTGCAGTGGCCAGGAACATTTATGCATCAGTATGGAATATATTTAATCTCTTAAACAACCCCAAAGATGCAAAACTGAAACTGGAAAGATGCAATCAAAGCAATCAACACTGCAACCAGTGAATATTAAAAAGCTATTCTAGGATAGTACTAAGGTTAACGTCTTTTAACATAATAGTCTAATTGCATTTATCAACGATTAAACGAGTCAGTGAGTAACAGTAAGGCATGAATAAAAATCACGTGATAATGTAACACTTGATTCTGTTTCTGACAAGTCTTAAAAACTTCTTATTCACTGAGGTTATGCAGTTAAGCGGTTATGTGCTCTGGTTCATCAGGGGCTTTGATTTTTTGAAAATCAACTTTTCAGTCATTTGTCAAAATACAGTTAAATGGATAACATTTTACTTTTACTTAGTGAACATTTTTAGACATAAATATTATAATTCTGACATTGTGACAATAGGCAATTTGTGACTTTGTGATGATAGACATATTCAGCACTGCCATTTCAAAAAACAGGTTTAGAAAAAAACCTCTCCAGAAAGGAACTCCTTGGTCACTTCAGATGGTCATATTGATTTTTGTCTGTTTAATTCTAACCGTGAAAAACAAAGTTTGAGGGACAAAAGCATGGACTAATCACCCCAAAATCCGGCAGAAATTGTGCCTGCCAACTTTAACTGAGTGCTGTGAAATCAGTGACCATGAATTGTTTAAAAGGGTTTTTGTATCAACTTTAAATCTAAAATGAGTAATTCCTAGCTGAGGCAATTTTAAAGCCTGTTTCCAGTTTTTAGATGAAATTGCTCCATTACATACATATCTCATTCCCTGTCTAAAAGGAAGATAAAACAAATTCCCACAGTAGCAGAATGTGCATTACACACCAATAATGACCTTAAAGACAGGCTAAGAAATTCTTCTACTGTGGCTTTGCTTCTAGTTTAGCATTGTTAACTAATTCATATGTAGCATCAAACGCTATGGAAAATGCCCCTGCATGCCCTACATACAACAATGTACCCCCATCCACCCAGCTGATAGAAGAGAATGATGCGATGCAGTCTGGTCAGCCAATCACAAGCTATCTTGGCACATGAGGAGTTACTGACGCCAATGTGCCCGTCTGCTCCTTCTCTGCTGTCAGCCCAATTCTGCCAATCCAAGCTGCGTTGTCCTTTCAACAACCCCTTCTCAGCCAGTGGGTCTGTCTGTAGGGAAGGGTCATCTCTACTGCCTATCCTATTCTATGAACAGTGCACAGACGTATTCCATGTTTGTTCACTCACACTGAGAATGTCAGATGACAGATCAGCACTGATGAGTTTTACAATACAAAATTTTCATTAAAAAGTGTGCACTCCCATCCCCCACATCCCCATGTGCATATTCAAGGTTGTTTGTTCTAATGCAAATTAAAATTCAACATTTGATTCCTAAAGTCTGAATAGTTTTCTTTGTTCCTTAAATTTCACCACATTGCCTGGTGTTCAATTGAGTGTTAGTGTTTGAATCACTCTGAAACACCCCCAACCTGTTCATCAAAAGCCAAGTAGCAGGCTGACTAGCTCAGCACAGTCTGCTATTTATTGTGCAAAATGCCATCAACTGTCTTCCAATACAGAACAGTTCAGTTCCCTTCAGGCAATGAAAGGCGCTAGCATTCTCAAGCTGTTCAAACCGGTCTTAATAATGGTCATAAATCCTAATAAATGGGTGCACTGGAACCAAACAATATTTGACACATTCTCTCGGTTACTCCGCATTCACACAGATGCCTGTTTTGTTAAATCTATTATGCTGCATGACATCGAGTTCAGAAGACATTTTTCCCAAGTTTCTCTGAAGTTGCTCTGCTGCTGATTTCCTGTCGCAAATGCAATTGTGTTGTGATGCTGCCATCTGAGGCACACTTTATTTTCAACACCCATATTTAGCAAGCAGTTGATTCACTGCTGGGAAAATACTACCTTTACTACCTTTCCCCCGTTCTTGTTAGGGACTGTAATCTCAACACAGCTACTGAAAACAGATCTCCTCAAGACTTCTGATACAGCTGATATGCTTTTACTTTCACTTTTACTATGCCACCCACTCTATAAGGGGAATGAGTGAAACGTTACCAGTGAACTCAAAATTACATAACATTTATCTTTGACATTAGTCTTCAGAGAGCTAACATGTCAGATTCTATCCCTGTCGAAGTCTAATAATGTCACACTTTCTTTATGGGCAGCACATGATGTAGTGATATCAGCACAAATCTCAACTTGAGGATTTGGGTCACAGGAGAAACACTACCTTTGCCTCCAGTAAAACACTCCCAAGACACAAATAAGCAAGTATGAGATGTATAAATGACTCATATAGTTCAGTGTGTAACACTGTACAAATTACAGACCATGCTGGGCTATCACAAAAAATTATAAACTCTACCAGCCATCCAATTCATTCATAAACAGAATCTGACAATAAGTCTAAGTGTACTTCTCTCTGCAAATGAAGTGCTTAGATAAACATGTCTCAAGATGTTTGTAAAAACTACCAGGGGTCTGTAAACCAAAGAAAGAGTAATGAATCACAGCAGTTATCAGTATGATGGAAAAATATGAGCTTCATCGACAAAGTCTCCTTACTTCAGTTAGCCATTGTGAAGAGCACACACTATTCTCAGTTAGACACCCAACAAATTAGGAAACAAATGAGAATATTCATATACAAGCAAATATCAATAAGACATTCAAACAGACTTTCAAGCCCTTTCATAATTTATTCAAGATGTAGTGCCTTTAATATGTCTCCCGTCCTTGCTCCTGCAAGTCTATCTGCTTCTCCTCTGCAACTTCATCTATCCAACTGCTGTCTACTGTTGGTTTTTCATGACCTCATCTGAGAATTCACATACTGAGGCGGAAGAGCAGCAAAATGTCACCATGCGTTGAGCTTGCTTTCATGGGATGTATATTTTTGTTTATTTGGTACTCTCTGCTGTGGGACTCATACGTTATGGTTTCAAGCTTGCCCTGTAACTGCCCATTGCAACTAGCACAGCATGGTATGATGCTAGGTATCAGACAGCAAAAAATGTTGCCAACTCCTGGTATGATTTTTTGTTTGTTTGTTTTTTTGTTTCACGCTGTGGTGACATATGTATCTGAGGCGAGCCAGCATCCCACACACCTGTGCACATTTTGCATTTGCACCCATTAGAAGTGAAAATACACATGAGACAATGTCAGAAATAAAATGTTCCTGCTGTGCAGCTGTTAAGTGACATTTGGAACTTCATATATTCTAATATTCTTTGAATATATATAAAATTCTCCACAGAAACTGTTCTGTTTTTTATTTGACAGCATTACAACAAAGGCCACATCCTGCTATGGGTATCAGAGGAAAAATAATATTACTTGTAGCTGCCAACTACATGACTAACACATTTTTTGGTTTGAACAACCCTGGGTGTCACAGCCTTGGTTAAACAGAAAGAAAGACAAAAAGTGCACAAGACACTAATATCTAAAGGACATTTCAATAATGCTTTATCTTGTTTAAACTGAAATGAACTCAGTGAGGATAAAGACAATGCTTGCAGATCCAGTGCAGTCCAATCCAATCAACTGATTCAAGGCTTTCAGCTATCGTGGTAGCAGTATGGTATAGTGGCTTAGGAATTTGGCTTTTACCCAAATGTTGGCAGGTTCGATTCCCTGGTGGTGTGCTGCTGTTGTACTTTGAGGAAGGTGCTAAACCTGATTTTTTCAGGTAATAATCAGTTGTACACAATAAACAGAAAATATGTATTGAGTATAGCTATGTAAGATATGGCTCACTTAAATCTTACAAGATAATAAGAATAAGAATAATGCATGTTGGTAGGACTACTCAGTAACTGACATGAAAGATACACTCTTTTGAGGTGTACCTTCAGCTTGGATTCATGTGGGATGGCTGGGGACTTGTCCTTTTTCGGCGGAAGGTACAGTTCCCACTTGCCGTGCTCCTTCTTTTCGTAGGGGTGAGAGACGTTATTCCAGTCATCTGACAGAAACAAAAAAACAGAAGATTTTAGCCCTTCTGACATTCAGCTGTTCGTTGAAAGGATCCCATGCTGTGATAGTCACTTGGACATTAACAGAGTTAACAGCTTGTAGATCTCAGCAGTAGGACTGTACAACACAATAAGTGTGTTACTTACAGTATATAGCATTCATCACAATACAAAATCTCTATGATAGCTTAAGAATGATTTCTACATTAAACAAAGCCACACTGTTATCTACAACAAACTAAATCAACCTATGTATATAAACAGAACAATTTATTCATCCACAAATTCATATTACTAAGAATTCTCTTTTCTTCCAGGACATTTTCATCTAAATTATGTAATTTGTGCATTGTTTCTCTACCTCATGCTCAAAGGCATACAGCAACAGAAAGAAAAAGAACAGAGAAAGATTGGAAGGCTAGAATCTGCTTATAGACTCATAAGCACAATTATCCATGCCAACAGCAATTACTCATCAAGGTGCAAGCCTGTGTCCTTCATTGAATCTGGTATTGTTTTATCTTAGCATTATACAATGCTATTGTCATTCAGTACTTCTATAAGATGCTAGCTCCGTGTGATCAGTGTGAACATTGTAATTATATTATCAAAAAGATACTACTAGGATTAAACATGGTTTCTGTACTGTATCAAGCCGAATAATGTTTAACATAGATGGGGATTGACCCATCAGGCATTGTGCACATACAATTATCACACTGTTTTCGCTTGCTTTTGACCCACCAAACACTGTGAACATCTAGCTAGGAATATTATAAATATCGCTGGAGCCTGGATTCCATTTACTTACCAGAAATAATTTGTATGTTTTGAAACTGGGATATAGGTATAAAACTGGGAAGTGTCGTGCTGTTTAAATTGTTGTTTTTCAGTAAACCTATTCACAAGCAATTTGCAGAAAAAATATCCCTGGTTTTGTGACAGACAGACTGGAGGATGACACAGTGAGACCAATGCTGATCTCTGCAATCTATCCAAATTTAAGCAGAATTGTGAAACTGAGTATGTAAATGACATGGTGAACTATAATTTATGCAACACAATTAACAGTTGGAGTGCTTGCAGGCTCTTTTTGCACAGGTGCGAAGGGGAGTCACTGCCAGTGCAGAGACGCAGAGAGCACCTGTAACTTTTCATGTGAGATGCTGCTTCCTTTAACTCCTCTTCACATTCACAAAAAGTGTCTGTAAACATTCCAACGTGTTAAAGGTGCTACATCATTTAGAGAAGTAGAATTGGTTTTTTTTGTTTGCCTTCACCAAGGTAGCTGCTGAGATGCAAAGCCTCACAAAAAAAATGTCCCTTTAATGAAATTTGTTTCTGAAGGTAAAAGAATGTCTCTCACAATTTACAATTACATTACATTATTTTCATTTATTAGACATGCTAATCCAGAGCAACTTACATAGGTTACATTTTTTACATGTTATCCATTTATACAGTTGGATATTTACTGAGGCATTTCTTGGTTAAGTACCTACCCAAGGGTACAGCGGCAGTGCCTCAGCTGCTCTTTACCACTATGCTACAGTGCCACCCAATTTGCAATAATTACTAATTTTTTTATTATTAGTATGGTACTTTATAAGTTTCTGTAATAAGCACAAAAATATGAATTTCGGTGCAGCTGATATTTCCTGTGAATGTCTTTAGCACAGAGATAAACTGAAGTGTGTAAGTCTTTAAGGTTTGGTGATATCTGTATGCCAGGGATATCTGTATGCCAGGGTGGAGGTTGACAATTTATAAACATTGAACAAAAAAGTGAGGATTGCACAGAGATATCTGACCCCAGTCTAGCACACAGGGAACGTCTCTTCTGTTTTCACAGCTCTCATCTGTTTAGACATATGCATAAAGGAAAACAAATCTTGTATGGCAATAATACACTTTAAAAAAGTGAAAGAGTTATGGCGTTCCAGCTAGGCCACATGAAAAATGGCTAAGCAGGTAGTGTAGTGTTTATATTAGCAGGGAAATCCCTGGGTAAAGTGTAGTGTTTTATCAACATCACACGTTTTGTGCTGAACTTACGGAGATAAAGTATTGAGAAGGTAATTATAATTTTGCTAATTATCAATAACTTCCAGTGTTACAATGATTTATTAAGATAGTTTAGCAGTGTTTTACTATAATTATGGACATTAAGGCTCATAATATTTTACTTATTTTAACGCTGTCACACGTGTATATGTAGACATTAGCACATGAGGAGCTGCACACCTCTTTGGAATAAGAAATCAGCTTCCCTGTGACATATTACCACAAGAATGACAGAAACAAACAACAACCAAAAAAATGCACTATCCGTGCCTCTCTCCAACCAATGAGAGACTAGCCGGGACTCGGTCAGTCAACTAATTTGGAGTTACCGCAAGAGCGGGTCAGGGGGATTATATGACCCCTTTCAGAGTCTGAAAGGGTGACGCAGTTGTGTCACAGATATTTTCTCCCCCATTTGTATGTATATCTTCTTTTGCAGTACAGATCTTGGTGAGAGATTTTGAAAAAGAGCGGATGCATTATTCATCCCACCTGCACCTCCTTCACGGCCAGGCAGTCTGGGCTGTTCCTGCACTCACTATGAAATTGAAACCAAATAATACGAGCCGTGTCCAAATGTAATCTCTTGCGGAATTGAAATCGGGGGACTTACTCTGCTCATGCCTCCAGGTTTCTGGGAAGATAATTAAAAAAAGGAGAGGAGAAAAAAAAAGAGAGAAAGTGGGAGGGAATGTGGGATGGTGGCAGTGGTGGCGTTATAAGGACATCAGGAGGATAATAAGGCGCCTGAGCCGCGGCATTTTGTTAGGATATCAAACAATGGTGCATGGCACCGGGGTCTCGTAAACAACGTTATTCCGTGGAGGAATCACTTTGGCCTTTCGACATTATTTCAGAGAGCACTGCCTGTCACTCCCTCCGAGCTTGTGCATCACTCTGAACATGTGTACTGCATCCAGAAGTTCTTCCAAAATTTGGTTAGCGCATCTCAAATGTACTGTACAAAGCATAAAATAATGTTGTACACACACACACACTCACTCAAAACTTCCTTTTAAACTGGTGGGAAGGATTCTGGCAAGCAACAGCATAATCTGTATTCATTAAAACTGGAAGGGAAGAAGGTCAATTGAAAAGGTCTAAACTTGTTAACAAGGGAGTGAGGGAATTTAAAAGTTTAAAGTGTTGAAGGCTTCTCTTTCTCCAGGCTGGATGAAGCATGGTGCCTATCTGTGGCTTTGGCTTACTTTCCCATCAGGAAAGATCATATCAGAAGGTAATGTTTAAGGTACTAATCGATATGTTTGTTCACGCTTCAATACCGCTGTTAAGGATTACCTAAGAAATTTGCATATAAATGGGGCATGATGGTCAAATGAACAAGGAAAAAAAAAAATTAAGGCTTAGGTCCTCAGGCTCAGCTTCATCAAACATGCAGGTATTCAAAGGTGTAGACACTGACTGGAGCTGGCTGACATTAAGAAAATAAATTGGAATAAAAATGTATTTGTTCACAAGTTAATAATTAATAAGGCGGCACAAAAAGAAACTTTATAACAGTGGCACTGTGCCTTCACATGGAAAAACTCAAAGAATATTGGTCACTTAACTAATGTGTTTACCTTCAGCTTGCCTGAAACCAAACCGCTTTTTCTCAACAAGAGATCCTCTTTATCCTTGTTTTGGATGGGAAGCAGCAGATATACAGTGAACTGGAGCTTTAGCCTACTATAGGTGTTATGGCTGGGAGGGAGCATTTTACAGCTTTGGGATGAGCCTGTCCTAGTGTTTCTTACCCCGGCTGAGCCAGGTTGCCATATACTGTACGTCTGAAAGACAGAGAACATAAAGTTTGGAATATAGGTGAAAAATGGAGAGGAGACAGTGCTGCACATGTCTGACAGCCACTGTTGTACATGTCTGACAGACAGAGAGAGTGTCACATATGTCTAACAGGCAGATAATGTCAGAGGAATTACTGTACTTCCTTTTCTGTCCCTATGAGGTTATAACAGGCTGGTTAGAATATACATCATTCTCTCTTCTTTGTTGCGTTTTGGTATTTTTAACCAAAAAGCTGCACTTGTGTTTATAAAACCTCTGTGTACATCACAGTACTCACAGTGAGATTCTTTATGCCTCAACCTTTCATGTTGTGGGAACAAGAAGTAGAGAATTCTTCACACAAAAAGACTGTATTCCCTAACTTTAACAGTGAGAAACAGATGCAATAATATAAAATATTGATCACGTATTAAAAAAAAAAATCAAGAGAAATTGTGTGTTTGCATAGAGGCGTTAGATAACCCTGGAGTGAGTCTCTTCTGTGCCGATTTCTTTTTCTGCTCTATCCTCTGAACCCTCACTCCTCTATAACTAATCATATAGTCAGAAATAAAGCCCAAAAAATCTACATTTATTCAGAGGCACAATAATACTGCTCAACAGAGAAGCAGGAGGGAGAGAGCCTTGGAGGCCCTTTTGATCTGTGGATTACATCTGTTTCCCCAAGGAAAAAAACAGAGAGCAAAAGTTTCTGAGTACAAACACAGCACACACATACACAACGGCATTTGGTGAAAATATTCAAGTGGTTAGGACCCTTATGACCTGAAAGCATTATTGAGAAACAGACTCTAAAAT